AATGAATTTTCAGCATAATTCTTTGCGCTGTGCAGTTTACTAATCAGTCATCATCAACTGGCACATTCTCCTCAGCAATGCCTCTCCACTAATCAGAGTCCATTTAACAACCAATCAGCACTCTTCTCTCGCACAATACAAATTTTTTTCCACTTTACTTGGGTACTTTTTGTGCATCAGCCTTCAACAAAATTTGTCCTTTCACAGAAAACTCAAGTTCTGAATTCCCAAACAACTACTCTCTAATAGTTTATCATCTACTGTGGATAATTAGACAGCCTAGAAAGGAGAATTGAGGGATGTTGCGATGAGTGGTCTTGTCCCTACCTCAGAACCAGGAGGCCCGGGTTCAAGGGTCAACTGCTCCAGTGGTGTGTAAAAACCATCTCCAAACAGGCCGATTAGAAAACACTTAGAATGGAGGATAGATGCCAGCAAATACTCAAACTACAAGCCACCAGTGGTTGCTAACTGAAAGATGCAACATCTCTCAGGTGTCAGTTAACCAGCCAGCACTGCCCTAACAATCCAGTGAAGATTCATTCAAGATCCATTTCCTTGTGACAAAAGCTGTAGTTTTTTGCCAAGGCTGAATTCTATGCTGTGGTTGGTACTGAACCTGGGATGAAACCTGTCTACAGCAGTTTGGAAAGCAGAGTGATTAGGGAAATACTGGGATATCTGAGCTCTATGATCTTTCTTGATAATGACGCAGGGTAGAAACCAAAAAAGTGATGCCAGCCACTGCAATTCCATATGACCACTTCAGGACCTGGCGTCATTTTCCTCAGGGCAGGGTGAGACAGATTACAGAAAGGGATGATTGAGGCGCGCAACATTAGGCCCAGTTTTAGACCAAGTAAACAACTGTTCCTATTGGCTGATGCCACAAAGACAAACGAACAGTGTTATTTTGTTTTTGGAGGGGGTGGGCAGGGTGAGATGCTGAGGGATGCAGGGAAAAAATATATTGTTGCTTCAAACATCTTTTAAATGTACAGCATATATTGTTGAGCATAACGCGTACTGCTGAGATTATTTCATGACAGTATTAGAATACACATAATCACAATAATTTTAGATGTGATGCCATGCAAACCAATGAGCATTTTTACTTTGAGAAGTGCTAATTGCTGCTACACATTTTTGCTGAAAAGCAGTATTTAAGCATATATCTCAACAATAAAAGATTAACACAAATACATGACAAAGCAAGTACAGTACAGTAAAGAACAACTTACTTGTTGAGAAATATCACTCTACAGTTGTAGAGGGTGTTTTTGTACATGACTGGCCTGGGGGTTGCAGAAAAAAAGACAGAGGTTAGGACCAATTACAATTAATCTTAGCTTATTCAACTAATCCTCTATTATTTTCCAATGGTATAATTTGAAAAAAAAAAGACAGGTTCGATAATCCAGATGCTTTAACTGCGTGAGGAAAATGATGAATTAAATCATTTGTTTCCCTATTTTCCACTATTTGTCCATGATTAGGAAAAGCACAAATAAACCTTTAATAACCTAGCAGTATTGCCAGGTTAATTTGAAGCACAGGTTCTGATCAAAGCAGGATGAATTTTTTTTCGCCCCATTTAATCTTTCATGGGAAAATGGCATTGCTGGCAAGGATGGCATTTCATTGTGCTTGAACTGAGTGGCTTGCCCTGCCATTTCATTGGCTTTTCACAGCCAATCAGATTACAGCGAGTCTGGAGTCACATGTAGGTCTGACAAGGTCCGCTCACCAAACTTCCTTCCCTAAAAGACATTAGTGACTGAGGAAGGATTTCACAAATGGATGATTGTTTCATGGTCACCATTACTGGGCTCAGCTTTCAACAGGATTAGGGTTAGGTTCAAATTTATTTTGATTTGAAATTTCACCAGCTGGAGTGGTGGGATTTGAACCCTTGTTCCCAGAGCATTACTTGGGCCTCTGAATTACTAATCCAGTGATACCACCAATACATCAACCTCAACTCAGCCCTGAAGATGATGATTCATGTCTGTGAGAGCCTTTGCATGATCTGACTAATCATCATTATTCTTGATAAATTTAGCTTTGCTACTGCACCTGCTATATAACAGAAATACTGTGTTAATCCAGGCAAGTCTGGTTACCTCATCCCTAAAACACATCATGTTCCTTCAGTACAGAGGAACACACCAAAACATCATCTCACTGTCAGCGTGCTGCATAGAGAGGGCACCTTTACTTTCTTTAAGTGTAAAATCCTCCATTTTAAGCGCTGTCAAAACTGATTAAATTATTGAATTAAATCTCCCTATCTGCCTGCTATTAAATCTGACTCCCAGCAATCTCAGAGCATCTTGTTGACTGTTCTGCTAAACCTCAATGTGCACCGACTCATTGCCTACCTGTCTTCATTCAAGACTTCCATTCGCATTTTTATTATCGGCAGCCCAAACTTTACCAGCATTCTCCGTTCACCACCTCGGGTCTCAGCCACCTCCACCCTGTACTCCAAACCATTGATTATGTATCCATCTATATCTAACTGTTATGGACAATCTCAAGCTGCATATTCCAATCCACAACCCTCCTGTCCTCCCACACTGTTCTTTCACTGGTGGCACAACCATTGGCCCTCAGATCCCATTCTCTGGAATTCTGTTGCACGAGTCTTTTGTCTTCCTACACACCTCTCCAAAAGCCTCCTGAAAACCAGCCTCTTGAACTGAAGCTTCTGTCATTTACCTCAACTCAGCATTGACACCCACTCTGTAATCCCTTGTTCCTGGGCATTCTGTGAGTTGACGGTACTTATGAGAACTACAGGATGTCATAAGCAAGAGATTTCAAAGCAGAAAATCTGAATGGCATCAACATGACTTTTCAGTACTTCAGTCAAAAAAGCAGCGCAATTTCCTCATAGCCTTGCAATCAGAGAGCTAAAGTAATTTCACCATGGAGGGAAGAGTCAAGAGGTGCAACACAAAGAATTAATTGTAGCAAGCTAGATAATGGAGTTTTCCAAGATCTTCTCATAACATCGATCATGATCATTCCTTGCTCAAACAGCTTTGCCAGACTTGTCAGGGCAGAGATTAGAATCAACACAATTCTGATAGAGATCTTATATATTTCCATATATATTTTATTTTACTTCTTTTTTAAAAATTCCTGCAATAACACTTGTTAAATTGTTAACATGCACTAAAATAACAAAGGGAATTAAATATATCTCAGTCAAATTAATTATCAAATGACAAATCATCACATCACCTGTTATGACTCTAAAATCTCAGCTCTAACATTTCAACAATTAAAACAATCTCATTAATCAACAATAAATGCACTCACATTCCTACATCACACATTATGTCTTCAGTGGCCGGAGAGACCAAGAGTTCTGCTAGTACTTGAAATGAGTGAAGTACTGTATCAGATTCCAAGTAGTGATCAGCGCAGCCATACCCACTGGACAGGGGAGAAAAAGGCAGAGTGACTTTACTGAATGAGAAGTGCAAGAATCAAGAGCAACATCAATAGTTTCCTTGAAAATTGACCTAAAGAGTCAATTTTCAAAGAAGAGACATAGCAGCTGTTGTTATTTTGGCTCTGATAGCTTCACATGCATACAGTACAACCTATACGTTGAAACAAAAGCATTAAGCAAACAAAACTCTCCATCTCCTTAAAAAGGTTGAAAACAAAAAAAATGCTGGTGATCTCCAGCATGTTTTGTTTTCAGTAGAGATTCCATCATCTGCAGTAACTTGCTCCTTTAAAAAGTTGTTGTACAAAGTCTTGAATCCTAAGATAGGAGGGTTCTTCAAAAGGTTACTAAAGACTGACCAGAAACCACACTGTCAAGGAGATAACTAGAAGAAGCCAACTGTCAAAGACAAAATGAATTCTCACTTGGAAGTGCAAGGATTGACATGGGAGAGCCAGCAGTTACTTAAAGGCAAATCCAACCTTTCTTCCTTTGTAGAAATAAAAGAATGACTTGACAAATGTTGTACAGACAGACAATGTACTTTACATCGCATTTTCAAAAGGAATTTAAGTAACACACAAGAGACTTATTTTGAAAATAGAAATATATAGTTAAAGGGACACCTGGAGACATAACTGGCTTCAGGATTGGAGGGAGGCCCGCAGTGATTAGAATGAGGGGCAGGTGGATCTCATTGAGTATGAGATCCTTGATTGGGGTTATACATCTGGGCCAATAGGGAGCCCTGGCTGACAGATTTAAACAGGGGATTCATTTCAGGGTTAGGCTCTGAGTGGCTAGTCAAAGCCCACATACTATGCACGTTAATAATGGGTGACTTGGTAACAGGATACTGGCCTCTGTGCAGTTATTTCACGATAATTATGGTGAGGATATTTTTCAGATAAATGGTATGCGGTGGGGTCCCCCATGAATCAATATTTGGATCGCTGTTTTCCAATTTCTTTATGAATGGCCTTGATTTGCATGCAGGGTGTACAATTTCCCAAGATTTGCAGACAATACAAAAAACTTTCCAACATAATAAATATAGTGAGGAGAATACTGGCAGATTTCTAGAGAACTTAGTTTAGTGGAATAGGCAGAATGTGGAGGTATGTGAAGTAATCAAATAGGGAGGCAATCTTAAATATTCTGACCTGATAAATGGTTTTACGCCCTATTTGGAGAGGAATCCTCAAAAGATGCATAATCACAAGTCTTTAAAAGATGTTGGGGCAAACTGTTAGGAGAGATAAACAAATGTATGGGGCAACTGACTTTGTAAATGGCAACCGATAGAACTATGGATGTTGTAAATCAGGAACAAAAACAGAAGTTGCTGGAAAAGCTCAGCAGGTCTGGCAGCATCTGTTGAGA